TAAAAGATATCAACATGAAACTTTCAGGGATTATAGATCGTGATATATACCATCCAGGACGCGACACTTTGTTCGTCGTCGGTACTTCCTGTCGTTAGGAGAAGCGAATTGAAAAAATCGTATTTTCTAACTTTTTTGTTTTTCAACATTTTTTATTTATTTTTGGAATGATAATAGAGACCCTTTGATCGATGCTTACTATATAAGTTGTTTGGATATTGGTTAATCAGAACTCTAGATATGAATATTTGAAAATCTGAAGCGGACCCAAGATGGCGGCTGTCTCTGTCAACTCCGCCATTTCGCGAGTAGGGGTTTATGGAGGCAGCTGAGCGTTTGACTAAATGATACATGAAAAGTAAAAAAACTACATGGACTTTCACCTATCAGTACGCTGAAATATAGTGACATCTTAAAACTTAATTTCCGTTTTACTGCTTTAGTGTAATTGGGCTAGATACGTGTGTGCAATGTGTCAAATTTACTTTCTTAGCGTCGAAATAAAATAAAGGCGATATGAAGTTGTTTATTTAATATTTAATTTCTATCTTTTCATGAAGGTGTAAAGAATCGGGTAAGTTCACTTTGGGGATAAACAGGTAATTAAAAAAAGTTAAAAATAATTACCATTTCACTTCTTTTGTGTTACTTATCTATATATGATATAGAATATGTACAATTTGTTAAATATATTTTCTAAACCTCGAAATTTAGGTTTAAAGAACGTTCCTTTTTCTTTATTCTATTGAAGCTATCACACCTATTTAATGAAAAATTCCAAAGAAAAGGCGCGCAGATTAACTTGTGGCGTTTGGCGCGAAATTATAAATTGTGGCGCGCCTTTCGTGATTCTTAGACAGGTGTATTGTTGAAGAAGTATATTCAAGTACATTTAGAGCAGTGGACTCAAACGCGTAATTTAAGCATGTTGGGAATAAAGAGGAAAAAAGCGCGTTGGAATTTCACGCTGGCGACCTGGGTTTAATCCCCTTTGTGAGCAAATTTTTTTTATTACTTTTTCAGAACGATTTTATGTTCTTATCCTGAAACGGACGGAAGACCTCTCGTTGCTCGCAACGAGATCGTTTCTAGTTATTATTATTATTATTATTTTTTTCCCCAAAATTTTGTGCACGCGATTTCTCGAAAACTATTCAGTAGTTTTCTGTGAAACTTTCAGAAATTATGCGTCATTATATGAAGTTGTGGCATGGATAGAAAAATTTGGAATACTCACCTTTGGTTCCAAGTTATTGACACTTTTCTGATTTTAAAATGCAATTTTGTCCCCCCTTTTTTCGAAAATGGTTTAAGATATTAACTGGAGACTTGTAAGAGATTATAGATGATGACTTTTAGATGTGACGAATCACCTTTTCGTGTGTCGTCGGTACTTCCGTTTGCTACCGGAAGCGAAATTAAAAAGTCCGTATTTTCTAACTTTTTTGTTTTTCAATAATTTTCATTGATTTTTAGAATGTTAATAGAGACCCTTCTTATTATGCTTACTATATAATTTGTTTGAATATTGATAAATCCAAACTCTAGAAATGAACATTCAAAAGTCTGAAGTGGGTCCAAAATGGCGGCTGTCTCTGTCAACTCCGACATTTCGCAATAGGGGTTTACGGAGGCAGCAGAGCGTTTGCTTGAACGAAAGTAAAATAAGGATAAAAGAAGTGTAAAGGAATACTAGGATTGTCACGTCGTTGTTACGTTGCAAACATGTGTCAAACTATGTTTTAATCCATGGTGGGTCAAATGTCTTCTATCATTGGTTTTGGCTGGTTCTCAAAGTAGAAAAAGAAAAGATATAATGTGCAAATGAAATACGATACCTAGTATCATTTACTTTTTGCGAAATAACAGATTTTAAACCATAGTTATAAGTAATAGTTTTTAAGAAACATATATAGTAAGTATTAAACGTAACCACCGTTTTCCTAATGCACACTTGAATTAAACAAATAGAAAAGACAGAAATAAGAAAAACATATCTAAAAAAGATAATTTAATGGAGTTTATATCATCATTCTTGTCTCAATGATCTCATTCAAGTTATTAAACATAAATGGTGTCTGATTCCTTGACCGTCGTAGGGCGACACGCTTTTCGGCGAAGCAATTCAAGCTGTACATGAAAGTTTAAGTAATCGGGATATTTCATTATAGGGATAAACAGCAAAATAAAAATCAGTTGAAAATTATAGCAGTTTCTCTGATTTAGTGCTAGTTTTCTATATACGATATGGAATGTGTAAATGCGTTAAATATACTTTCTTAACAAAGAAATTTAAGCTACACGAACATTCTTTTTTTATTTCCATTGAAACGATCACACCTATTTAATGGAACATTCCAAAGAAAAAGGCCCGAAGATTTCTTCGAATCGTTTGACGGAAAATTATGAATAGTGACCTGCCTTTCATTATTCTACGACAGATGTACTGTTGCAGAAGTATATAAATGTATATTTAAAGCTGTGGTCTCAATAGCGTAATAGTCAGCGCTTTGGATTTTTGCGCTGGCGACCCGTGTTCAATCCCCTTTGTTTCCATAAAAAGTTATATCACTTTTCAGCTCGATTTTGCGGGGTTTTTTTTTCCAGAATTGGACGGAAGACCTCTCGTTGCTCGCAACGAGTTTCTTTTCTAGTTATTTTTCTTCTTCTTCCTGGGTACTTTTTTGTCCGGGAGTAATCTTGTAAACTGTTCATCCGAAGTAGGTAAAACCTTTTTAGGGTCAGTAGACATGTTATGTAGATTTGCGGAATCAAGGTCATTTTGCGCGCACGTGCTTGAAAGAGCGCGCACGTGCAACACGTGAAATTACCAATATAACAGGTATAGCCATAATTTTTCTATTTTTTGATTAAATACTTTGAAACTCACAATGTGAGGATATATTAATAGTATAGACATGATGACATGGTCAAAAAAGCAAGATCTCACGCGCATGCACGTGCGCTTTGCTCTGATTGGCTGAAACTGAAGTCTCAATATCTTTCTTGTTTTTTGACAAAATCCTTTGAAATTTTGAACATAGTCATACACTATGAAGATCTAAAGCATGATATATAAGAATTGTCATGAAAGCATGCGCATGCACGTGTGCTGCAATCTGATTGGCTGAAACTATAAATGACTATATCTCCTTTGTTTTCTAACGAAATGCTTTGAAATTTAAAACATGGTCATACATTAGGATATCCTGCAATACGATATACAAAAAAAATTCAAGAAATCACGCGCATGCACGTGTGCTGCAATCTGATTGGCTAAAACTTTAAATGGCTATATCTCCTTTGTTTTTTGACAAAATGTTTTGAAATTTAAAAGATAGTCATTCATTAGGATATCCAACAATACGATATAGAAAAAAATTCATGAAATCACGTGCATGCATGTGTGCTAAAATCTTATTGGTTTAAACTTGAAATGACTATAACTCCCTTGTTTTTCAACCAAACAGGATGGGATTAAGAACATAGATAAATATAAGGGACTTCTACAAGAAGGTATGGACATCATGCACGTGCACGCACGTGCGTGCATTTAAAACGAGTGAAATTAAAAATACACTTAGATGAGTGATTCTTAATACTTTTGGACTGAATGCTTTAATATATAGTATATTAAAATATATAGATAGTGTAAACAAGATGATATGGTCATAACGCACATGCTTTCACATGCGCACGCCTGCAATGCTAAAATTTGAATATAATTGGTATCCTTCTGTTAAAGTAAAAAATGCACAGACTTTGTCTTATTTAATGAAGCTTACAGGGAATATGGCACCAAAAGGGAGTTGGGGAGCGTTTGGGGAACATCTGTAACGGTTCCCGTTACAATTAGGACTAGTTGTATTTTATAGCTATACTGAAATATCTTCAGTCCTAACTGGCTAAGAATCATCAAACTTTGTCAGTTCTTGCATCTTGGGATACACAGACTTAGAGGCTTCAAATAGAAGTGATAGACTGTACAAGTTATCAGAAGAGCGATTCAAGGCCCTTGGGCTTCTTGTTAAATGTTGCCAGCAATTTTTCACTAATTTGTAATTATCTCCCCTTAGAAGAGGGTGTGACCCTTTATTTGAATGAACTTGAATTCTCTTTACCCAAGAATAGTCTGTGCCAAGTATGGTATAAATTGGCCCAAGATTCTGGAGAAGAAATAAAAAAAATATGAAAAGTTTACAGACAGATGGACAACAGACAAATTGTAAGGCCATGCAAAGTTAATTCCTTGGTTCTCAGGATATGTTGGGATAGGGAGGCATTATTTTTTTTTAATACTTTTTTACTGTCCCTAAAACATGATGAGGCAGCTTTTTACATTGTACAAAACCTCTAAAAATGATGAGGGAGGTGATTTGTTTATATTTTATTTGGCAATAAAAGAGAAGAAGTAGGGCCTGAGAACCAAGAAATTAATTTTTCATGGCCTAATCAGAAAAGCTAACTTGAGCTTTTAGCTCAGGTGAGCTAAAAACTGTACTTATCGAGTGCAAGTCACAACAGCTTGAATACTTTATTCACTTACATGTAGCAATCCGTATTTTTAATCAAATTCTTTGTCATTAAGATAATTAATTTTGTCAATACTGTTTCATGCATGAATCTGGAGGGAACCTCCCAATCCTGGATTTTCATAAATTTAAAATTGATGCAAAGGAAAGATGATCTTGAAAGATATAACCCATATCCTTCACTAGAAATACAGAGCCTTCGTGTTTGACTTAGAAGAGTCATGAATCTGATGAAGATTTTAACACTGGAAAGTGACCCAGCCTCTTGTCATCCAAATAGGTACTTTGTATTTTGCAAAGTTTCGGCAAGTTAATTTTTTTTTTCGCTTTTGAGCTGTTAAAAAAAAACTAAAGAGTTAAAAAACATTTGTTCAGAGTTTGTGTAAAGTAAATAAGAAGTGGTAAATTTCAAAATACATGTATTTATTTATAAGAAAACCAGTTCACAAAAGTAGAAAATTAAATACATTGTAAATATTAATAAATTTATGGTATTTCCATATTGCTAACAGATCCACAACAACACATAGACATGATAATAAAAAGATTTTATGTAAAATTAAAAAAAAGAAGATCTTTGTTCAAATAGCTCTACTTTATCACACTTGAACATTTTTATGACACTGGAATAATCATCATGAAAATGAAGGAATGTTGTGAATATTATGCAAATATATTAACACTTTGCCATGTATCTTGCTTAAAAAAGTATATAAAACATGATACAAAAACATCTTGGTTTTATCTATACATGCAGTGATACAAAGTAAGTATTCCTTTTAATTCATATGCAAGATAAACTTGACCTTTGACCTTAAAATAATATGGCCTGTACGTTTATGTCTTATAATTTTTTAAAACCAGCTAGTATATATTTACCGCAGTGTTAATGACTCAACTTACATGTAGTACAAAAAATCCCACAATATATAAATATATACATAATTGCAGAGATGTTGTTAGAAGTATTTCCATGCTACATTTTTTTTTCTTCGAAGTTCAAAATTGTATTGTAATATAAAAGTATTAAAATTAGAATTAGACTGGTTGAAATAAAATGTGTTGGCATGGAGATGTCATAAAATTCACAAAACTCTATACATGAACACACTGCAAAAAGTTGGGCGAAAATCTCTATGCAAATATTATCACATTTAACATATACATGTAAGCATGTATAAATTGTGTTCATTTGTATACAAATAAAGGAATGGATTTCTTCATGGATTTGTACAGATCAAGGTATAAAAAAAATAAATAAGTTTTAATTATGCTTAAACTAGGAGATTTCATCTACCCATGCTCTGGTAAACAACTTTGAAAAATAAATACAAAATGCTATGACCTATATTGATATTTCAAGGTATTTATGTATACATAATATCTAAAATGAAAGAACACTGAATAATTACTAAAGTTATTGCATTATATTATGCAAAAAGTATTAAGTAAAATCTAAATAGGATTATTCTCTAAACCTCATTAAATTTCAAATTTTTATTATAGTCAATCATGTCAATAGTGTCTTCTCATTTCTCTTAATTAAGAAGTAATATTTATTTTAGATAAATGTAAAATATCACAGAATCTTTAACAATTGTTTAAATCAAGTATACAAAGAGGACAAAAAAACTACAACAGCAGCTTAATTCACTAAAGAAAAAAAAACAGCTAGAACTAAAGAAATAAACTTGTAAACAATCTTAAATTAGGCCAAAGGGTTAAAATGTTTTGATATGTAAAACAAAAATACCGGTTCATGTACATATAAGTATCAATTTCTAAAAGTAGTTATTGCATTAAAATGATGCCAGAACAAATAATATTGGGACTTTTTAAAGATGCACATTCTTTTACAATAATGTACACGTGATAGCATGAGATTTGACAGTAAAGTAAGTACAATATTGACTCATCTTTAATCAACAGTGAAAGGGCATTATGCTATGCAATCTATAAATCTCATGAATAATTATGTATTAAATACAGAAAATAATTTTTTAAGCACTGTATAGTAAATTGAGATATTCAGTGTGCCATATAACTCTTACAACTGTGTTTTTCTACTGTGTGTCTAAATTAGTAGGATCGTTTTGGCATCTTTTATATGTGCTGTCTTTTATTTTTGTTGCAACAATCTCAGAAATTAGTTAATTCATGACCATAAAGGATTGATCCAAAATATGGAAATATATGATTAGATTATGTAAATATTATTAATGAAAACAAGCTTATATAGTGCCACATCATATAAATACTGCACCATTTTGTCCATTATAGTACATATATCTTCATGAGTTTTGAATACACAACAAGTATAATACAAGACAAGACCCTGGGTTACATTATAAAAAAAATTAAAAATTTGCTTATTATTATATACAGTCCCAAATATTGAAGTATTACCATTTCTTCACAACAAATACCGGTATACAATGTATGTTTAATTTTTTTTCACACAAAATATTTTGCAGTAAAATGGAGAAAATTATCACTTGTAACGTAAGTCTCAATTATATGACGTTTTCCAGGATTTTTTCATGATTTTGATATTTTACGTGTTTCTCTGGCATGTAAAATATCAAAATCATAAAAAAGCCCGGAAAATGTCAGGTTTTCAGACAATTATAATCTAAATTTGTTCCCACCATATTTCATATCAATCCCTATTTAAGAGTGATTCTCAAACTCCAGGCCCACTGACAAGGCATCTTGCGCATATTGATGACAGGGAATAAAACTCGCAGTCCATGAGCCTCCTCAAAGAAGTACATGGTGGCCTCTGACCCCAGCAGTGTGACCGCTGTGACCTGGATACCCTTCAGCGACCCCAATAAGATCTCATTACTTAACGGCCAATCCAAAACCAAACAGTAAATCACCTTCTTGTTGGCCTTTGAGGCTGTGTACCTATAAAAATTGGAAATCACATAACAGCTAAATGATAAAGCTACAAATCCTGGAAAAAAGTACATAGAGATCCATTGGACAACATTAGTGCCCTTAAATCTCTCCCTCTCTCTATCTCTCTCCCTCTCTCTGACATAAATTGTATACATGTATAACTAAATCTTTTTAATGATTTCTGATGACCCTTTGTGGCCTTTAAAGTACTGGTAATATTTTCTGCTTTTTGTTCTGATAAAGGGGCAAAATTCTGACATTGCATCAAAATAAATGAAAACTGCATGAGGACAGCTATTTTAAGTTTTTCTTGTCACATTTAAATTCATTCCATTCATCAGATGTAAATAAAACCAATTTGAAAGTTTTAAATTAAATGGTATATAATCTATGTGCCAAGGGTTTGAGGAAAAAAAATTTTAAAAGCCTTTTCTGGCAAAAACGACAAGTCTCATGACATCAAATCTATTCAGAAACCCAATTTTGGGATATGATATAAAGGAACCCTCACAAAACCACTACAATCACTTAATTTAAAGGAGATGGGGTGTTACTATTTTTTACTATTTTCAATCTTGGCAAGGGACAACAAAAGAGAAGAAAACTTGGTATGAACTACATGTATATAATTTAAAAAAAGGCAACATTTTTTTTTTTTAATTTTAATAGACTCGTTTAAAAGTGTTTTTCTTTCTTTCTTATACAGAGTAGTACTTGTATATGCATGTCAAACTGTTGTTATGGTATTTTGCCTGAAGAATTTATTTAAGAAAGCTTACCATACTCGGTTTGACTCTGTGTCATTTTGATGAATCCAGGGGGTTGTTTTATAAATAGCTTCTCCATTGACCTTCAACCATGACCCCAGCTGACGGAATCTCTCCTCGTAGATCGGGGCAAAGGTTCCCCAAGCTGTGGGTCCAACATTGATCAGAATGTTCCCTCCAAAACTGAGAAATTAATCAGGTCCATATTTTGAACAGCAATGAAAAGCTGATAGTTTATAGAAATGAATGAAATGGCAACTTTAAATTCTGAATTTCCTTATCAGTGTGTCTGAATCAGGTCAATGTAGTATGGCTTTAAAACTCTTTTAATTATTGTATAAATCACCTTACCTCAGTAAACTTGCAATGCCAGGGGTCCTGAGTCAACACATTGTCATTGTACCACTGGCATATTTCATTCAATATTCGTGCGCTTGCCTCTCTCATTGAAAAGCACCCATTAATTTAAAGCTTTCATAATCAGTTAGATAAGGATTCAGTTGACAGCTCAAATGGATGTGATACAATTTGTTTATCATAGAAAGGCTTAGTGTGATTGGTTGAGAGATAAGATTTGTAATTTTTCTGCAAGACATGGCTACAGTAAGCCCATGAATATTGAATGAAATATGCCGGGGGTCCAACATCAACATGTTGATTCTAGACCCCTGTCTTGCGAAGATGCTTATTGCGAAGATGTAATTACCTTATGGTGTAAATCACTTCCTCTAAGAGTTCCTCAATAGAGTAATACTGATCCAGATCAGCATTCCGTCTGAAGCCCCATGAATATCTGTCAATTGTCATGGCATTAACCCATTTATGAGGCATCACATGGCCTAAAAATACATTTAATGATCCGGGAATATTGCCATGATAATAAATTGCAATTGCCTAATACAGTTAAACACATTTTTAACAAAGTGCCAAGGACGAATGATTTTGCTGCATAATAAGCTTAATTCTTTATATCCGTTAAGTTTAGAATACATTTTAAAGTCACAAGGAATGAAAATCACTTTGCTGTAAGCATTAATTCATAATAAGCACATACACTATAACTATGTTTTACTGTATTCACTGAATTGAGACAAATTCATGTGGTACCTGGATGAAATCGATCGGAGCACGTCCAGACTCCACCATGTTTACAGAAGCAGTCGTATCCCCAGCGATCGTTTACCACAATGTCGTCTTTGACAGGGCTGAATTTAAAGGAATAAAAAAATTATCATGTATACATGTAACAAGACAAAGACTTCGCATCTTTATTACTTTTTTTGATTATCAGAACCTTTTTACATGGTTTTTTTCTGAATATAGCTGACAATGGCCATTTTTTAAACTATCATAATGAGTCTGGTTACATTGATTTTGAATGTCTTCTCCCTGTACAAGACAGCACAATAGTACACTGTACATGACAGCACAATAGTATACTGTACAAGACAGCACAATTGTACACTGTACAAGACAGCACAATAGTACACTGTACAACAACCAGTCCTTCTCGTTGATTCTCATATTTCACCAGGTCTCTTTTTTTGGCCACTAGCTGTTTTACAGATTGACAAAGATATAGCATGAACGTGATATAAACTCAGTGAGATTTGTAGCGACTGAAAATTTTGGTCTGCTGTCTCTCTGGAGAGATTTTTAGTCTCAGTCTAAGTATCTCGCTGATATTAAAGTCTCATTCTATGAACCTTGCTGAGATAAGAATGAGATATTGAACAAATTAACCACTACCTTTCATTGAACAACCAGGCCAGGAATATGGTAGAGTTCCAGTACCAGCTCGGGGCCAGCCAGCAGGCATCATTCCACAATAGGTCTGGTTTATAGGTGTTGATGATTTCTTTTAATTGAGGATGGATATAATCCTACATACAATACAATGTCGAATAATAAGTCATATACATTTTTTCTTAATCTAATGTACGTACTGTAAAATCATCAATTTTCGTGAGGGGTTAATTTTTTTTGTTTTTGAGGCATGGAGAGTCCAACGAATTTATGACCACCATGAAATACAAAATTTAATATGCATTTACTACTTAACATTTTCCAACCATGAAATCAAATCCCCACAAACCAATTTTTTTCCTCAAACATTGAAAATTTGACCACATAAAAATGTGATTTTACAGTACTAAAAATTCTGTGCAAAACATCTTTTGTTTCGATCAGCCTGTTCAGTGACATTTGATATCAATATATCCCTTCAAAACCCTCAAAGAAAGTAAAAATTCAGTTCCTATAAAATCATTGCACAAAATAATACATTAATAGTACTTACTTTGACATATCTTTGAGTTGTAAAGTTATTCTTTTGGTCTGCCAACCATATTGGATTAAACCACTCAATCATAGCATGATAGATCCCAAACTTAACCCCTGTTCCCTTTAATGCATCTTTTAAGGGACCTAAATAGAGATTTAATTGAATCACAGAAATCTATTAGACTAGTCTCCATGTCTTGCTTTTAAGTCTAACTTACAGGCATGAACACATCTTTTTTTCTGAAAATCCTGCATGCATTAAAGAAGTTTAGAACACTAGAGCATGCTTTAAAGAACATTGTATGTATAAAACCACTTACCTACAAGGTCCTGCTTTGGTCCAACATCTCTTGAGTTCCACTGATATGTCACATTAGTAGGGTACATGCTAAAACCATCACAATGTTTGGATGCTAGAGCAACATATCTACAAAAAAGACACAATTTGATAAATACTCTCCTTATGTAAATGAAGGAAAATACTGTTCATAAACATGATTCACTTAATTTTAAGATTTTTCGTGTATGTACATACATGTAATCATGGCAATGAATAAATAATTATAATTACTGACTCATTTCGCCTTGTTGTGACCCCATCCTACATCCAGGGGTCAAAATATAAAAAAAAACAAGAGGCCCATGGGCCACATCGCTCACCTGAGAAGCTTTGACCATTCTGTTCTTTACCAGATTTCCCCCTTGCTATACATAATGCATCCCCACCCTACCCCACTGATCATAATTTAGACATTTTGAAATCTACACTACCCCATGATTCTTCCATGGGCACATATGTTTCAGCTTTTTTGGCCCAGTGGTTCCTGAGAAGAAGATTTTCAAAGATTTTTCCTATATATTTCTATGTAAAACTTTGATTCCCTATAATGGCCCCGCCCTTCCCCCGGGGGTTATGATTCCTAAAATTTAGAATTTACAGTACCCCAGAATGCTTCCACATAAGTTTCACTTTTTCTGGCCCAGTGGTTCTTGAGAAGAAGATTTTCAAAGATTTTTCCTATATATTTCTATGTAAAACTTTGATCCCCCATTGTGGCCCCGCCCTTCCCCAGGGGGTCATTATTTGAGGAATTTAGAATCTACTTTATACCAGGATGCTTCCACATAAGTTTCAGCTTTTCTGGCCCAGTGGTTCTTGAGAAGAAGATTTTCAAAGATTTTTCATATATATTTCTATGTAAAACTTTGATACCCTATTGTGGCCCCACCCTTCCCCCGGGGGTCATGATGTGAACAATTTAGAATCTACACTATACCAGGATGCTTCCACATAAGTTTCAGCTTTTCTGGCCCAGTGGTTCTTGAGAAGAAGATTTTCAAAGATTTTTCCTATATATTTCTATATAAAACTTTGATTCCCCATTGTGGCCCCGCCCTTCCCCCGGGGGTCATTATCTAAACAATTTAGAGTCTACATTATACCAGGATGCTTCCACATAAGTTTCAGCTTTTCTGGCCCAGTGGTTCTTGAGAAGAAGATTTTCAAAGATTTTTCCTATATATTTCTATGTAAAACTTTGATTCCCCATTGTGGCCCCGCCCTTCCCCCGGGGGTCATGATTTTAACAAGTTAGAATCTACACTACCCCAGGATGCTTCCACATAAGTTTCAGCTTTACTGGCCCACTGGTTCTTGAGAAGAAGATTTTTTAATGACCCAACCCTATTTTTGTCTTTTCTTGATTATCTCCCCTTGCGAGGGGATATGTCCCTTCATTTTAACAATTTAAATTCCCCTTCACCCAAGGATGCTTTGTACCAAGTTTGGTTAAAATTGGCCCAGTGGTTCTTGAGAAGAAGTCGAAAATGTGAAAAGTTTATAGACGGACAGACAGACGGACAGACAGACAGACAGACAGACGGACGGACGACGGACAAAATGTGATCAGAAAAGCTCACTTGAGCCTTCGGCTCAGGTGAGCTAAAAATTGTATCTACCAACGTAATGAAGCTCTCACGAAAGTTTTACTTTTTTGGCCTTGTGCTGTTTGAGAAGATTTTCAAAAGATGCCACCATTTTTTTTATAACAATTTTTCAATTTTCTCCCCCAGTACAGGAATGTAATGCCATGAATTCAAATAACTTGAATTCCTTCTTCCTAAGATACTCTGTCCCAAGTTTGGTTGAAATCAGCGAAATAGTTAAGGAGAAGATTTTAATTTACTACAACAATGCCTATATATGACATCAACAACCAACCATTACTGTAAATCACTTTTTATTCACGAGAACTTTATTTTCGCGTAATTACACGAGACAGTGTGCTCGCGAAAATTTTATTCTCGCGTATAATAGCATTCCTTAAGATTATATAGAGCAATAACCACAATTCGTGAAAATTTTGTCTCGCTAATCAAGAGTCAATGACTATCTCACGAAAATAAGGTGTCGCGAAATTTTAGTGATCTACAGTAAATTTTTGATCAGAAAACCTCACTTGAGCCTTCTGCCCAGGCGAGCTAAAAATCTTGTCATGATATTACAGTTAGCAACTGGTGTTGGAGCAAGGAATACATGACATCTCTGCATGGGAGATTCTTAAATACTGAGCAGTCCACAAAAGAATCAATGTTTGACCACTTGGGCTATAAGAATTTTAAGCTACCATTCTCTCACCAGAGAGCACACGACCCAAGCTTCACATGGAAGGTGAGAGAATGAGAAGTAATTACATGTTGACTGGTTGAATCCATATTATTTAGATGTTATTTTTTAATGTCAAATTTTATTCCTTAATAGAAGCGGAATGGACAAAATGTTATCTGCATTTATCACTTTCAAGAAAACAATTAGAGACTCTCAGATATTGTACATAAGATGACCACTGAGTGACTCACTGGGGTTTTTCCTTTATTTATAGGTGTGCATGGCTGTTGGAGGTAGACAGACTACTCGGCCCAACGACACCTCGGCCCGTGCTGGTTGACACCTCGGCCCTGACAGGTCGGCTCAAAATCATTGACACCTCGGCCCATACCAAAGACTGCTCGGCCCATTAGGAATAAAATTAAATTTAGTTTGTTTTAATTAGTTTTTTTTTGTATTTTCCCTGTCATGGTAATGTAAATGTATACTATGTATTTTTAATCACTATACATTTACTATAAATATACGATAATTTCAGTATTTTCTAACAAACCACAACACAACATCAATTAAATTACAATCCGTTGATTTGGAGCTAACAGGTCTATTTATTTAATGACTTTGTTGTTTATTACAATGCAACATAATACATTTTTAATATATTTATTAGCCATTTCAAAGAAAAAATGCGCATATATTTTAATTTTTATTTAAAAACTCATATTTTTTTTCAAATCAATTCTATAATATCAACAATGGTTTCTTAATTAAAGGAGCTTTTCATTAACATTAACTCCCAATTGTGGCTTCTCATAATTAACTCCTCATTAGTCACCACCCCCTATGACACACGCTGGAGACTCTAAAGGATGCACTGCGTCTTGTTTGTTTAATGATTAGCACTTATAATCAAGTTACCAATGGATCGTCTTTCCTTAATTACCGTCAATTTGCCGTCTTGGAAGATTGTAAATGTATTAAATTAATTTTCTTTTGCATTTCATACATATATAACAACTTAAATAATAAATATATTCAATAATATATTTCTGTTTGGACCGAGGTGTCTTTTATGTGAGCCGAGGTGTCTTCAAATTTGGGCCGAGCCGTCGGAGCCGAGATGTCAATGGGCCGAGGAGTCGTTGGGCCGAGGTGTCGTTGGGCCGAGCAGTCTGACATTCCTGTTGGACAGGTTTGATTGCTGCTAGCCTGGAAATAGCTCCATCAGTTAGTATAACATTTGACTCAGAAGATTCAAGGGGCTAAGATTAGATTTGATGATCTCTGGTCCATTGCATTTTTCTTCTCTCTTGTTATATTTGGTGCCATCAGGCACCTTAATATACTAAGAACATTGTTTATAAATAGGTCCTTGTTGTTATTCCATTCCCTGGAAGTGACAGTTAAAAGAGTCTGGGTTGGTGTCTTTGGGATTCGTCCAGACTAAAAATTTTGGATTGGTTTCTCTTCCGAGACCCCAGTGACCAAAATTTTTAGTCTCAAGGAATCTTGCCAAGATAAGGGCCAAGAAAACTCTTAAAAGCCAGGAATGCATCGTCACAAAACATGGCCAAAATGTACGATCCTCTCCCATTCTGGCTATGGTTGAATCATAATGAGAAGAGAATATTCCATAGCTCATAAAAATATTGACCTCACCAACGAGAGTAAAGCATAGTCGGAAAATGAATTTTAACGTGACCTTTCAATACCTAATTGCCGTCTACGAAATATTTTTGTTAACTGATGATGTTACTCGTTGTCATTTCAATTGTGATGGAAACAAATATTAACTGGCATTGGCTGAATTGTCACAGAAAAAAGGCGTAAATATTCAAGATTACAACAATTTATGTGATCAAGCAGCCACGGGTAGGAGAGAGCTATAAGCATGCATGATGAACGGACTCCGAACTGTGGCTTACTTGAGACCATGCCAGGATTGGAATGTGGCGCAGTCATGCAGACATGCTAGACTAGTTTGCACTTGTAGTCGGAGCGCTCATTTAATTTGTTTTAAGAACACTTGACTGAAGATTCAGCTGTCCATGGTTCGCATCCTAATTAATCTCTATAGTAAAATGTGCAATACATAATTAGAAAGACAAAATGCAAACTTTACAAAAAACAGATATTCTCACTTTACACCAGAGGCAACAATGATTTCCTTCCACTTTTTAGCATCATAAAATTCAGCTCGGAATTCTTTAGCGAAGTCTGCATACGTCCAGTTGGGTGGGTAAAATTTCTTCATGTACTCTACCACGTCCGCGTGCGGCTGGCCCTTCCAGTACCACCAGAACCACTCACTGGTACAAGAGGGAACCGAGTACACCCCCCAATTAATGAACATCCCGATTTTCACATCGTCGTACCAGGCTGGAATTGGCCGAGAATCAATGCTCTCCCATGTTGGTTTATATTTCTGACAGTCTACGGTCGAGGCAATAAAAAATACAAGTGTAAAGAGAAAATACAGTCTCTTCATGTTTCTTTGTGAAAGAAATTTTCTCACATGATCCGAGTTAAATAATTAAAACATAACCTTAGAGTAAAGTAAAAAGCCTTTTCGATAACACTTTGCCGGAATATTAAAGTTTATATATTTTAATTCCTTAGACGTTAGTGTTTGGGTATCTGTCCTTCTTTTTACGAATTTAGCATTTTGTTTTAGAAAGTGTTTCTCTGTTCATATATAAACATTATTTTTGTTTTAAATTGTAACAGAAATATATCTTCAACCCACAAGGACCCCCACAAGTCACATGTTGTTTGTTGTGTAACCAACTTTAACGATTTCGGGGTGTCTCTGACTTTTACCATCTATTTGATCGAACTTTCACGAGACAGAACTTTGAAAGTGAAAGTAGATTCTCGTGACAGGAGCGCTCCGAAAGAAACTATCAAACTTTGAACGCAGCTCACTTTATACAAGAGCCTTATCTCATGTCGCGTGGACAGTCAGATAAGCCTGGATATAAATACTTGGAAGGTCGCCGTCCTAGATCTATTTGTTGCTCCTGTTGGACAAGAAGGTCGTGGTACTTTAAGTTAGCTATGGGAATCTCCGGTGTTCTGTTTGTAGCTGTTTTGGGAGTAATCATAGGACTAGCTGTGTCGGGCCCCCTTCATGCATCTTGTAAAATTGACTGGTTTGTGACAATTCCTACATTTTTTACTTGAAATGTATATAATGTGACGCAAGTCTATATATTTAATAATAATGATCATATGATGTCAGACTTGCATAACATGTGTTTTTGGTATGACTTGCATGCAAATCAAGAACAGGGAAATGAATTACGTGTGTATGGGTGTATTCCTTGTGACAATTAAGAGCTTCCCTTGACTTTAACAGTTCTTACCCTTGGATGACCTTGACCTTTGACTTACTTTTGAAAAATCTTTAACCATTTTCATTACTTTGAAATACTAGTAGGTCAGAATTTTTTGTTCCCCTCTTTTGTGAAAGTGAGAGGACATTGATTAAATTTCATTCATCTGTTTGTCTGTCAGTCTGTTTAGAAAAGCTTTAAAAAACCTTCATCATAAATTATGAATAAGAAGAGATAAAACTTTCATATTTCACATGTACACTACTTGTTACAATACCTCTTTAAATAGACTATGATTTTTGACCCAGTGATTTGACCTTGATTTTTAACATACTTTTCAAAAATTTTAACATTAATTGAAATTGATCATAACTCAGGCCTAGAAAAAAAATATGTTTGTTTCCGCTTTCCCGACCGACCCTAATTTATAGTACCGACCCTAAATATTTTTTTAATGCTTTTGTCCCATGATGTGCAAGATTTCGACCAGGGAATTATAGCCTCCAACTTTGCAAGCTTTTCAAGACAGAAAGAAGTTTGGGTCACCTTTCTATTATAAGTTAAGTCACAGTAATGCTTGAAAACACCATTTCTTTTGACATTAATGTTACTTCTATATACGTTGTGATTAAAGAAGCAAAAAAAAATTTTTCAAAAAAAAAAAAATTGCCTACCTACCTACCCTATATTTTTCAGCCTGAAAGCAGAAACAAACATATTTTTTTTCTAGGCCTCATGAAAGAGGAAAGATGGCATTTTCATATTACATTAGTCTTGTTTAGTACCTGTGATAAGACCTTTCTAAATTTACCATGATTTATGACTGTCACCTTTGACCTTGAAGTTTGACCAACTTTTCTAAATTGAAATATATCCATCTAACTTTTGAATAAGAAGAGAAAGGGCTTTCACATTGGACACATGCATTTATCTGTAACAAGATGTTTCCTGGCTTATGATATGATTTTTTACCCTTTGATCTTGACCCTCATGTTTGACCTAATTTTTAAACTGTATAACTTTGGTGATTAAGTTTAAGTGACATATGATAGGGCATTCATATTTGATACCATATAATGCTATAAACAATGGCATCCAATCCATCAAGACATGGGAAAGGGGGCCACGACTCTTTTAATATTTTAATTGCACAGGACATGGTGTAAACTATGTGAAAAACATTGCCTAGTGTATAAACAATTTTACCCCTCATCCTTGACCTTGGAGTTTACCTAGATTTGATTTTTTTTTTTACCTTGACACAGTGTAAAAATTTCAATACCCAAGGCAAGGTTTTTGAGACTTCCAAATCACTTTGATGTATCCATGGTTTTCAAGATATTGGCTTACAGATACCAAAATTCAATTTTATACAAGAAAGATAACAGGTCTTGCTTTACCAAGGAAAATACTTGATCAAAGTTTTATGTATATTTTCTGTATCTGTATATATATAAAGCTAGCTGTGTTATTTTGTATTCAGGACATTTGGAACCTCTTGTGATGATGTGAAGTCTAAGATCAAAGGTCAGATAAGTCAATGGACAACCGCAGACAACTGTGCGAACGGAGGAGAGAAATGTCTATACAAGGTAGAAATAATAAATGTTAGAATTCGTGTTTTGAATGTTTATTTGTTAAGCTTAAACTCCAATGTCAAAGTTGATAACACTGCTGTAATATGGCTGAAATATTGCAGACTTGACATAAAACAACAATAACCAATCAATCTATTAATCAATCAGTGTTGAAATACTGTATTTGTTTTTAACGAAACAGTTTACGAGTGAATCAGGCAATACACTGAAGGCAAAGCATGAAACTCCGGTTAAACATTATGTTGATGATTTGACCTTCACCTTTATGCCCGCAAGTTCCACAGCAAAATGCAATGTTCAGGTGAGTAAATTCAGAATTTAAAAAAAAGCAAATTCTTTTCTTAAACTTTAAGAATTTTTATATTTTTTAAAGGAATAGTAGCTTAGAAATAATGCAGAATTTTTATGACTATAAGCAATGTTATTAAAAAAGATTTAGACTCCTCTTATTGTCGGTGTAGTTGAGAGTTAGAGATTTTTAGATGTAAAAGAAAAATAACCAAACTTCATTGATTGACACCTTTTTTAGAGTACAGTGTATAGACAGAACTAACAGATACTACAACTCAATTAGTACACAACATCATTTTGAATTATATGTACCAGCCGAAAGGAAGTTTATTTTTCATGAGTGCATGACTTGACTGTCTATAATAGTTTAATTGTTTTTTTTTTAATTTACTCTGATATGTAGATCATATTTGAGAGTTGTGCCCCTTTTCTAAAATTCTCTGTATTTCTGATTATGGTCTAATATTACAGGGCTTTTCCACATCAGAGACTTGGTATGCTCTGTTAGACTATGGCACAAATTACTGTAATCTACACAACTTAATCACAGGTGAGTGGCAAAATCAAATTCTCCTAACCTGAACCAAGAGGGAGAAAATTATTATATGAAAACTTATGTCTTGAGAAAAAGGATTGGACATATTTGTTTCAGTTTTTTAGCTAAATAATCCTCTCCATATACAAGAAGAATTACTGGTTAGATACATTATAGTATACGAATGAAAATTGTTTATGTTTGTTACATAGATTACATTGTTACATTTTGTATACATTGGATACATTGTTTACATTTGTATACATAGATTACAATTGTTACATAGATTACATTTGTTACATTTTTTTTACATTGCATTAAATCTCTGGTTACATACATTGTTACATTTTGTATACATTGGTTACATTGTTTACATTTGTATACATAGATTACAATTGTTACATAGATTACATTTGTTACATTTTTTTACATTGCATTAAATCTCTGGTTACATTGTTACATTTTGTATACATTGGTTACATTGTTTACATTTGTATACATAGATTACAATTGTTAGATAGATTACATTTGTTACATTTTTTTACATTGAATTTATCTCTGGTTACATTGTTACATTTTGTTTGCATTGATTACATTAATTAATTTTGTTACATTTTTCCTTTTATTATTACAGGGTCAGGTCTGGACAAAGTTAGTGGTTACTCAGAGAAGACAAGTGACAGCATATGTACCCAGTACTCCTCAGCTAACTGTACTGTCTACTAGTACACCAATAGTAAAATGTACTCTGTACTAGTACACCAACATAAATACTAGTACACCTATGTAAACTGTACTTTCTACTAGTACAGCTACATAAACTATGTATGTAGCACTTCTAATGGTCTTTCATTTCAATGTTCCAAGACTTAAGTCACTCAATTTTTGCTTTTGAAGAAAAGCAAAAGTCACTCAATTTTTGCTTTTGAAGAAAAGCAATACTATTTTTTTTGTTATTAAAGATTATTTTCACAATTATTCAACTGGTTTCTAAAAAAAGCTCATTAAAATTTGTATGCATGTATAAGAAAATATTATGCATGTATATTGAATATGTTTTTCTACTGTACTGACCAGCAAATTTGACTGTGTAGATAATGTAAACTGATTTATTTTGTTATTTAATTGTTTAATTGAATATCTATATGTTATTTTAATATTTTTTTTATATTACATTTATTGTTATATATTGTACAGACCTATTTTCATTGAAGATAACATGATTTACAATGTATTTGTATGTTTTGAATGAACTTAAAGGTTGTCTTGTAATCTTTCCTGTGAACTGTCTATGATGAAATTTACCAGTTGTACATTTAATGCAGTAAGCACATATTGAGGGGAAATCTCGCATGTTAATTAAGGTTGTTCTTGTCCTTCCTGAAATTTAAGTTAAGGAGGCTGGGGGGTTGTGGCCATTTTTAGACCATTTTGATTTCCTTTAGAAGAAGAGCTCCATCTAAAGATATAAAAAAAATGATCAAATTTTTAAACTAAAATGATTGAAATTTTTCGTTGCCAAATGATATTTGACAGTTTAAGATACATGTATCATATCTAAAGATTTAAGTACCGTGTAATATCTGATGGTTAATTTGTTGACCCCCAAGCTTCCTTAAAGAAATTGAATGATGTACCTAAATTCAGAGTCTCTTGACATAATTATTTTTTTTTTCATTTAATTTTTCTTTAAATGATATATAATAGAAAATGTTTATATGTCATATGTAATTCTGTAAATGTAATTGTTTTGTCATTTTTAACTTTTAATTAAGAATGAGATAAATCAGTATTTATGGAATAGTATACTTTTGTGTTTTTAATAATACCACAGGAGTTCGCGTACCTATCAATTTTACCGAAAATTTCAGGAACTCCTGTGATAATACAGTAAAATCACGTTATCTTGAACTGAATGCAACCAAAATGAAACTTCAAATTATCAGATAATTTGAGATAAAAGAAGAATAACAAGAGGCCCAAGGGCCTTGAATTGCTCTTCTGATAAATTAAACAATCTATCCTAAGACCCAAGATGCATCAACAGACAAAGTTTGATGATTCTTAGCCAGTTAGGACTGAAAATATTTAAATGCAACTATAAAATACTATAAGTAGGTCATGGTGACCTAATTTTTGATTGAAATTTTCTGAGGACACAAGATGCATTAATTGAAAAAGATTGATGATTCTAAGCCAATAAGTACTTGAGGTATTCAAAAGTGGGTCACAGTGACCTGCTTATTGGTCAATATTCTCCGAAAACCCAAGGTGCATCAACTGACATAGTTTGACAATTCTAAGCCAAAAGTACCCTAGAATACTTAGATATAGCCATAAATGTCACAAGTAGGTTACCATGACCTATTCTTTTATCATCAATCTCGGAAAAACCAAGATGCTTCAATTGACAAAGTTTTGATGATTCTAAACCAATAAGAACCCGAGATACCTAAATATAGCCATAATGTCAAAAGTAGGTCACGGTGACCTACTTTTTGGTTGACATTTTCCAAAAACCCAAGATGCATCTACTGACAAAGTTTGATGATTCTAAGCCAATCAGTACCTGAGATATTCAAAAGTAGGACACCGTGACCTACTTTTTAGTCTACATGCTTTGAAAACCCAAATTGCATCATTAAGTAACTGAGATACCTAAATATAGCCATAAAATATCAAAAGTAGGTCACCGTGACCTACTTTTCGGTCAGTGTTCTCCGAAAATCCAAAAAGCATCAACTGATTCTAAGCCAATAAGTACCTGAGAAACATAAATCTAGCCATAAAATGTCAAAAATAGGTCACCGTGACCTGCTTTTCAGTCAATGATCTCTAAAAACCCAAGAAGCATCAACTGACAAAGTTTGATGATTCTATGCCAATAACTACCTGAGACATTCAAAACTTAAATGTAGCCATAAAATGTCAAAAGTAGGTCACCGTGACCTACTTTTCAGTCAATGATATCCGAAAACCCAAGATGCATCAACTGACAAAGTTTGATGATTCTAAGCCAATAAGTACCCGAGATATTTAAATCTAGCCATAAAATGTCAAAAGTAGGTCACCGTACCTACTTTTCAGAAATTCGAAAAAAACATTGACAAAGTTTGATGATTCTAAGCCAATAAGTAGCCATAAAATGTCAAAAGTAGGTCACCGTGACCTACTTTTCAGTCAATGATATCCGAAAACCCAAGATGCATCAACTGACAAAGTTTGATGATTCTAAGCCAATAAGTACCCGAGATATTTAAATCTAGCCATAAAATGTCAAAAGTAGGTCACCGTGACCTACTTTTCAGTCAGTGATATCCGAAAACCCAAGATGCATCATCTGACAAAGTTTGATGATTCTAAGCCAATAAGTACCCGAGATATTTAAATCTAGCCATAAAATGTCAAAGTAGGTCACCGTGACTTACTTTTTGGTTGACGTTTTCTGAAAACCAAAGATGCATCAACTGACAAAACTTGATGATCATAGGTCTAATAGTATTCAAAATAAACTATATGAAAACAAATGCCTGCAAAGTTCAAAAAGTAAGTCACAGTGACCTACGTTTTAATGAATATGTTTTAAGGCCCCAAGATGCATCAACTTACAAGATTTGGTGATTCTAAACCTTTTGTTGTCTGAAATAATGGGATTAAATGTTTTAGAAAAGAATAGCCATAAATTCAAAAAGTAGGTCACGATGACTTACTTTTAAATTGATGTTGTTTGAGGACACAAGATGCACCAACTGACAAAGTTTTATGATCATAGGCCTTAAAGTGTCCAAAATATGCCTCCAAATCAATTTGAAAACAAAAGCCCGTAAAATTTAATAAGTAGGTCACTGTGACCTACTTTTGTTTTAACATAATGTGAAATCCTGAGATGCACCAACTTACAAGATTTGATGATCCTAGTCTTTATAGTAAGCAAAATATCAACATTTTTATTAAGTGTAAATTTTGGTCAACGTTGATGTGACCTTGAGACCACGCCCTTTGCCCTAGGGTCATGCCTTGAAAAATGTTTAGTCTTCAACATATCCCGACCCTTGTATGTAAGTTTGGTGAAAATCTGCCAGGTGGTTCTGGAGAAGAAGATTTTTTAGCAACCAGTACTTTTGATTTTATTTTTCTGATTATCTCCCCTTGTACATAAGAAAAGTCACAAAAGTGTAAAGTATAAATGATAGCCCTTGGGCCTTAAGGATATTTATGACAAATTTGACAATGATTGGCATCAAAGGGTTCTTGAGTTATGGCCCATATTCACAAAAAATTAGGAAGCAACCGAAACAAATGGCCATAGCATTAGCTCTTTGAGCCTTTGGCTCAGAAGAGCTTAGTATGCTAAGGGTTGGACTGCACAACTCACTTCGTCATATCCCTAGCAATCGAGATACTGGACGTACCACGGACCCATAATTCCGCGGAATCTCAATTTCTGTTTAATCCGCGGGTAGAATATTAGGCGGATTTCTTAGAGACTATTACTATACATGCTATAAGCATTTCATTTATATTAAGTACTCTTGGACAAATTTAGAAAAAATTGTTACCGCATACATAGCTTAAATTAATACCATGCGGAAAAAAGTACTTCTACAGTATCAGTTTTTGAGATAATGAAGTTGAATGTACCTGCATATGAGGAAGGACCCAAAATTTAGATTCAAATTTGTTGAGAGACAACAAGCTTGACTTGGACATGTGATATTACTGCAACCACAATTGACAATAATTATTTCAATAGTGGTTGCAACCTATGTTTGTTATTGAAATACACTATCAACCAATATTGAAATAATTACTTCAATAGTGGTCGTTATTTCAATATAAGTGGTTGCAACAATGCATATCAAAATATTCAAAGAATGTTGAACCTTCATTAACTGACAGTCTTTCCCTCCCAAGTAAATCTTGCTGAATTGTTGATTTTTTTGCACATCATTTGCAAAAAGCTGATTACATTGAATCATAGACTTTTCATTCCTCTTGCGGTTTAACACAGTGTTTGGCAGCAAAATGTAGTCTACATATGCTGTAACTGATTTCTATGCTGAAACTGCTTTTTAGCTCACCACAACATAGTTGGGAGCTTACGAGGGCTGTTCAATAATTAAAGAATGTCCTCGGTGCTAGGAAAGAAGCAAACGACGCTTTTCAATGATTTAGTCTTCATGATTTTACTTATTAATCTCTTTTAATTAAAACACGTGCCCGTAACATTTTTTATCCAATTTCTGATTGTTTTTAGAACTCATCTTTGGGTATGACCCTTAGTATACTGGAAAATAGCAGATCCAATGATTTCCTGGATTTGTTTCTTCCTTCTGAAAGGTGTTTTTTTTCAAGTTTGGAAATAGAAACAAGTCCAAAGGTCAAAGATCTGGCGAACATTGTAAATGTGAAAAAACATTGACTTTCTGTTTATCCCGAAAACCCATTACTCTGTAGGGCATGCGGGTTTGGACGCTGTCATGAAGAAATTTAATGTAGTGGATTCCTGATTCTGGGTCCTTCCTCTAATAAACCTTTCGATTTTTTTGCCAAAAAATGCTTTCTAGACTCTTCCAGAAATTAAATTGTCTCCCCAAATACGAATTTGAACAACAATACCACTAATATTTAAGAAAATTGCATGTGAATCTGTCTTTGCGCTCTTGCATACCTTCGCTCTTGTCCGACCTTCGCCATTTTTATCATGTACATCTTATGGTAAATTTTGTTTTGAGGGTTTTAATCAATAGATTCATGTTCCAATATCTGTTTGAAAATATTTAACAAACGTGGATAACTAAAATTACTGATATTTTTAAAATAATTTTTACGAATTTCGTATACGCTGTCGTTTTCACTCATTTTTCAAAATATAGGGTGACCTTTGAGTACCAAG